CCCAATCTTTTCCGTGGCTAACATCACTAGTCAACGCTCCTCGTCTATCCCCCTCCCCTGCAATGTCTTCATCCCAGTTAGATGTAGAAATAAGGCCTCAAAATCCCACGGGAGGTCATTACAAGATCTGGCGCTTATTGTCCAGTGCACTTCTTTGCCCTTCTGAACTCAATTCTGAGTAGCCTCAAATAGCTTGTACTTGTTGAAGTTGATGTTTGCTTCTATATAACTCGCGTTACTGCATATACAATAGTTTATACTGTTTATATAACTTGTGTTACTTTCTATAATACATGTCACTTTCTTCATAGCATGCGTTAGTTTCTATACAATGTACTGTGCTACTTTCTAAACAGCATGTACTGCTTTCTATATAGCATGTATTCTTACTATACAAGTGCAAGATGTATTACTTTCTATACAGAATGTGTTTGTTTCGATGCAACCTATACTATAATAGTATGCTACTTTTTGAAAGATAACAGTATATTCTCTGTCGCTAAAGAATGCATCTGTGTCAGTTGCAAGCAATGTAGAAAAAAAAGTAACACATAGATAAAATCAAAACACACTTAATTCATATCAATGTTTATCATTTTGTTGTGTATGTATTTCACGCTTGCATGGCTGGCGTGAGCTTTATGCTCATACTGGCGGGGTGTTCATGTTGACGCGGTTTAACGTTGTGCTAATAGTGACGTGGTGTTCATCATAACGTGGTCCTTGGAAATGTTTAATTTGGAAGACAAATATATATATGTATATGAACATGCTCACGTTTACTGTAACAAGGAGCAATGCTTCTTTGGTTTTTGTTTGTTTGTTTGTTTGTTTGTTTGTTTGTTTGTTTAATTCTGTTAATGTAAAAATTACAATTATTGTAGCTGAACATCATTATATTTCAACAAAGAGAGTTGACGTCATCGTAGATAAATATATACTCTTGACATCATTATAGCTGAATATAATACACTGCTGGTATCATTTTCGGTAAACAAATACATGTAATGTTAACAGATTTGAATTAACGCACTATACTATGTTTATGTAATTTCATGAAATGTCTATGGCTATCTTTAGAAAATAAGAGCAATATTGCATGATACTGTGATGCAAAGCAG